TTCAATGCAATCCCCATCAAGGTCCCATCAAAATTCTTCACAGATCTTGAGAGGACAATAATCAACTTTATATGGAAAAACAAAAAAACCCAGGACAGCCAAAACAGTCTTATATAATAAAGGAACTTCTGGAGGCATTACCATCCCTGACTTCAAACTCTAATACAGAGCTACAGTATTGAAAACAGCTTGGTATTGGCATAAAAACAGAGAATTCGACCAATGGAATCGTATAGAAGACCCGAATTTTAACCCACAAACCTATGAACACCTCATTTTCGATAAAGGAGCTAAAAGTATACAATGGAAGAATGAAAGCATCTTCAACAAATGGTGCTGGCACAACTGGATGTCAACCTGTAGAAGAATGAAAATTGACCCATATCTATCACCATGCACAAAACTCAAGTCCAAATGGATCAAAGACCTCAATATCAGTCCGAGCTCACTGAACCTGATAGAAGAGAAATTGGGAGGTACCCTACAACAGATGGGCACAGGAGATCGCTTCCTAGGTATAACCCCAGCAACACAGACATTAAGGGCAACATTGAATAAATGGGACCTACTAAAACTGAGAAGCTTCTGTAAAGCAAAGGACACTGTCACTAAGACAAAAAGGCAACCCACTGACTGGGAGAAGATCTTCACCAACCCCGCAACAGACAAAGGTCTGATCTCCAAAATATATAAAGAACTCAAGAAACTAGACTTTAAAATGCTAATTAACCCAATTAAAAAATGGGGCACTGATCTGAACAGAGAATTCTCAACAGAAGAACTTCAAATGGCCAAAAGACACTTAAGTTCATGCTCAACCTCCTTAGCGATCAGGGAAATGCAAATCAAAACAACTTTGAGATATCATCTTACACCTGTCAGATTGGCTAAAATCAAAAACACCAATGATAGCCTCTGCTGGAGAGGTTGTGGAGGAAGGGGTTCCCTCATCCATTGCTGGTGGGAATGCAAACTTGTGCAACCACTTTGGAAATCAGTGTTTCGGTTTCTCAGGAAATTCGGGATCAACCTACTCCTGGACCCAGCAATACCACTCTTGGGAATATACCCAAGAGATGCCTGATCATATGACAAGGGCATTTGTTCAACTATGTTCATAGCAGCATTATTTGTAATAGCCAGAACCTGGAAACAACCTAGATGTCCTTCAATGGAAGAATGGATGAAGAAAGTGTGGAGTATATACACATTAGAGTACTACTCAGCGGTAAAATACAATGACTTCTCAAATTTTGCATGCAAATGGATGGAAATAGAAAATACTATCCTGAGTGAGGTAACCCAGACCCAAAAAGATGAACATGGGATGTACTCACTCATTATTGGTTTCTAGCCATAAATAAAGAACTTTCATCTGGTGATGGATAGAGATAGAGACAGAAACTAACACTGGAGCACTGGACTGAGCTCCCAAAATCCCAATGAGGAACAGAAGGAGGGAGAAGAAGAGCAAGGAAGTCATGACCAAGAGGGGTGCACCCACCCACGGAGACAGTGGGGCTGATATTGGGAGCTCACCAAGGCCAGCTGGGCTGTGACTGAAAAAGCAGGGGATAAAATCGGACTCTCTGAACATGGCGGACAATGAGGGCTGCTGAGAAGTCAAGGACAATGGCACTCGGTTTTGATCCTACTTCATGTTCTGGCTTTGTGGGAGCCTAGCCAGTTTGGATGTTCACCTTCCTAGACCAGGATGGGGGGGGAGGACTTTGGACTTTCCACAGGGCAGGGAACCCTGACTGCTCTTCCGACTTGAGAGGGAGGGGGAGAGGAGTGGGGGTAGAGGGAGAAAAGTGTGGGGGGGGAGGAGTGGGAGGCTGGTAGGAGGCGGAAATTTTTTTTTCTCAATAAATAAATAAATAAACATAAAGTTAGAAATAAACTAGCTTTGAGCTGATGATTAAATTCATTATTTTTAGGTTCAAAAATATATTTTCAGATTCACCAGCTGGGGGACTGAACCAATAGCTCAGAATTTAAGAGTACTTCCAGGTGCTCTTCCAGAGAACCCAAGTTCAGTTCCTAGCATCCATGTTGAATGTACCATAAGCCTGTAACTATAGCTCTAGTGGATTCCATGATCTCTTCTGACCTCTTTGGGCAATTGTACTTATGTGTGCATATCCCCAGGAAAACTCATATATATAGACATTATTAAAAAGAAAAGGAAAAGTAAGAATAATTAACTCTACTTTGCATGTTTGAGAGGACATATAATACCAAAGATGCTTGATAAAGCCTCAAGGAATTATATTATTTTATATTTACCTAGAATTACACATAATGTGTATAATATATACATATATACTTATATATCAAGTTAAGTCCCTTGATCTGGCAGTGCTTTCTACAAAAACTGGACTAACAAAAATCCCAGTTCCAGGCATGACAACCATCTTTTGAATCACAGTCACACTGTGTCACACTGGTCACGGTGAATCTGGTCACAGTAGTCCACCTGATTTCTAAAATAAGATAAACTATTGGTGTAATCCTTGCTTGTCTCTCAGGGGTTGTGGGTGGGTTGCTATTCCTGAAGACACACACACACTTAGGACTCAGATGATTTGATTTGAGCTAGATCTGAGTGGAAAGCCTCTTCTCTACAGTCTAACTTTCATTAATCTAGAAAATACTATGCAAGTCACCAAGGGGAGGAAAAAAATTAAACAGTCTGCAACAACCAAGAGCCAAGCTAATGGCCAGCTAGGCAGTATATACATAAAGGTGCAATAAGTGGCACTCACATGTTGATGGTAAACAAGAGCTTTCCAACTAAACTTAAGAACCCCTCGACAGGAGAGAAATCATGTCCAGTAGTGAAAACCTAGCCAGTTTCCCAGGGCTAGTGATTTCAGAGACATTAGAACAGAATCTATTACCACCACTTTACTAGATCAGCATAATTCAAGACTACATTATAAATCTCATCCTTATACTCTAGATAAGTGTAAACACCAACCCTCATCAAAAGAAGCTTTCCTTTACAGCAAATGAAGACCATTACAGAAAACAGCTGGGTGTAATACAGAGACCAAGAGATCATGGGAAGCCCAGACCCAACAGAAACATCTCCTGTATCTATGACTTAGGGAACATCTACAAAGAGAAGGTAGAAAGACTGGAAGAGTCAAAATACCAAGAAGTCTTTTGTGAAATAGTCTCTTTTAGAAATGACTGCATAAAAAGATTGGGACAAAAGAAATATTAATGGAAATATGAACCTGAAAGGGGGAAATTTTGTAGGAGCTCACCCCTTGACAAAGAACTATAGGTAATTAATGACTTCTGAGAGAAGGAAAATGAGCCTCTCCCGTGGATTATCCTGTTTATTGGTAGTTCAATGCAAAGAGGTCACTCTTGAAGCAATATACACACAAGCAACATACATGCATATTTGTATGTACATAACTATAATAATCAAATGCTATCAATTTGAGAATGGGGAAGGTAAAAGAATAGCTGGAGGTAGGGGACTTGGGAGGGACCAAAGGAAATAAATTGAGGGAGGAAAGTGACATAATTCTATTTTGATTAAAAACAATGATTGATGGAAAACCTTGTTAGCCAACCATCTTTAAGAGGTGGGTCTTAGTTAAGGAGTGGCTTCGCTGGGACCCAGGATAAAAGGTATGCACCTCCACGTGTGCCTTCTCTATGCTTTTTTCCATAGGACATTGCTGAGTTTGGATTTCTCATTTCCTGTTTTGTGAGTTTTTCCCTTATAATGAATAAAATGTAGTTGTTGTATCCTTAGCTATCCTGGTTATTTCTACAAAGGATCTCTCCATTTCCCATATTCTTGACCAAATCTTGCCTTCACTGTGCTTCTTAGTATGGTGTGTTTTCATCCCATGAGTGTCAGGAAAAAGAATAACATGAGGATTGTTGTATGCAATAGCACAGGAGACAAATCACCTCTCTGTTTAAATGATTTAGCATTCCCTTAAGAATGTGTTAGCAATCTGTGTAAGAATAAGAAAATCAAATATGATAGACACACAGATGGTTCTCTTAAAATGTCATAAAAAACTTTTGGGATGATGGAAAAACAAAAAGTGGCCTAATACTTCCTAATTGGCAGGAGACCAAAAGATTTGGGAGTGGTTCTGGGGAGGGGCAAAGAATTTGAGTGGGTGACAGCTGAAGGAATAATGATTGGGTGGGACACAGAGAGTTGGCAAAGATGCAGGTCATTAGCCTGGTGATGTCACTGAGACAGAGTTTTATGGATGGTTGTGTGAAGAGTGGAGAAGTGTAAGTCCCAGAGAAATACAGGCACGTGGCTGCTTAATAGTCCTAACCGAGTGAACAGCTTCTGGTAGTCACTGCACAAAGGTTCCAGAGCAGGATGAGTGTGGTATCTTAGAGACTATAATCTGGACCTCGTGGCCTTCAAGTAGGCAGGGTGCAGTGATGATGCATTGAGTACCAATGCCATTCAAAAATATTAGTCAATTGACCTATTTCTAATGCTTAGTGAGTCTGAGCTTCTCCTCTACCCATATCTGTAAAGGCTGGCCTTATCTACACCTCCTTGGGAAGAACTCATGTACAGGCAATCTCACTGAGAACAAACAACTAAAAAGAAAAATGAGTAGCATTGCTGAGAAAGAAAATGGTGGCAAGGGGAGATAACTCACTGGGAATGATGCATAGCCCTGAAGTTCAAAGGAAGCAGTGGTTTGTCTCTGAGCCATGGACTCCCCTGCATATCCCTCCTTAGAATTTTCAGTTATAGCTGACATCACTCCTATGCCACTAGCCTCTATGTCTTAAGTGCATCAGTTGGACCACACTGAATATGTGGGTTCACTAGATCACAAGGTAATATTTTGAAGACCACAGTGGAAGCAAGAATAATAAAATAATTTTTTTCATGACTTATAAGAAGGTAGAATACATTATTCATGTAGTAGATGGAACAAGATTTACATCTAGAGTAGATGCAACCTTCTGAGATAAACAGTTTTACCCACCTTATGAAAGTCAAACACTTTTTCTGCAAAAAGTCCATTGACAATGCTGAGTTCATAATCCTTATGGGATGAGTTTATGTCAGTGAGAACTCTTTTCAATTGATGCTGCAGTCCTGACTATCAAACAGAGGGACACAAATTCAATCTCATACTGAAAAGATGAATAACATCACTTACACATGAAATAAATCATGTCTATTATTCTATATAAGCACTGGAAAATATTGCTACAAAGCAGCAAGCAAAGATCAGTGTCTTTACCCTTCCTCATCTTATTGTTTGCAATCAAACTGAACAACTTAGTGAAATAAAGTTATCAATAGGAAGCTATCAATTAGTTCGAGATCCATATTAGTTCATTAATTAACTAGTGATTGAATTTATTAAATATTTAACTAAATTAATTAATTTAATAATTTCACTTAACTGTAAAGGACAGAAGAGAAAGGCTGATTATCAATATTTTGCTACAACCCGGCAAGCAAACAAATTAGTAAATTAGTAATTAAATTATCAAAATTATGTTTGTTTTTTATATAATTAAACATGAAATTTGGGGGTTTGAAATGGATCTCTTTGTTTTATCTGGATAGAAAACCCTAAAACATGTTCAAAAGATAGAATTTTTCTTAAACTGAATTTCTAATTGACTTTTTCTTTGAGGAACATGTCGTCTTTACCTGGTTGTTAGAGCAGTCTCCTTGCCTTGATGGGGCGTTAAAGTAAAGTGCCTGCAAACATGATACACAATATTATCAGAATCAGGATACTGCAATGATCAGTTAGCAAGAAGTTTTGAAAATAAAAAAAAAAACTTATTTCTAACAATGCTCATGAAGTGTCACTTCAATATCGCCAGCATCTGAGAGCTCACTCTTCTCATACCTCCAAATAAATGCCAATGGCTCAGGCAGAAATCACTTCTAGTTTCCATATTCCTTTCCTTTTCTTCCTGTTTCACATACTAACTTATCTCAGATTAGACATAATTGTGGGATTTCAATAAATTTAGTAAATATCACAGTGATACTTGCTTCCTCTAAATGTTCAGTGCATATGGACATTGCCATATTTTATCTTAAAAGTCCCCAGAGTTCATGCGTTATAGTCTTAGTTTCCAATGCTTTGGTTTGAAGTGACAATTTTGAAAGGGGTCGAAGCATTAGAACTCTAACTTCCCTCAGTGGTTTAACCTAGTTCTGAATTTCTGGTTTTGTGGGTTCTTGGGAAAGGAATTTGTTACAAGAGAGAGCTTTCTCAATTTGGTCCCTTGCTGCAGTGAGATGAGGGTCAGCAAAGCAACTGTGGGTGGAAACCTCTGAAACTGTAAGCCTTAGTACCTTAAATTTTATTTTCTCTGGTATTTTGACACAGCAGCAGGAGGTTTGTACTGCAGATGCACATAGTTAAACTCAAGAGTTTTCACTATGTTCTACTGAAACACTAGCACAGGAGTCACTACAAGAATTGCAGGATAAGACAATAGTATTTTGGGAGCCGTGGAACACCCAAGCCTTACTTTGGAATAACCTGGTGGTTCGTTGGAGCATTTGGGTCAGTACTCATTACGTCACCAATTCGTGCGTTTGTTTAATGTTTCTTTAAGTCTTGCCTACCAGTTTCTGTCTTCGTTCTCATTATTTAAATGAATTCTGGAACATGAAATTCATTAACATTTTCTATCAACTATAATTTCTACATGTCTTCAAACTCCACCTTACAAAGTAGTACTGTTTTAATTTGTCATGTCCTCAGACAAAGTATCATCATCAGCTGAACATTGAACTATTCCTTCCCTCATCATCGTCCGCTCCCAATCTTCTGAGATTCTCCACATATAAACTTTCTCCAATATTCAAGTTATTAGTAACAGCAACTTTAAAATTATTTGAATACATGCCTTGTTTTACCTAATAAATGCCGTCTCAGTGCAGAAACCTAGGCTTTGGCTCACATTCTGTCTTATTCTTCATAGCTACATGTTCTCTTAAACCATGCATATATTAAAAAAATTATTTTGGGTATTCATTTGTGTTGACAAATTAAATAATATATTCTTGAATCAAATGTGATTTTAATTTGATAAGGGGCAGTTTTGACTGATAGAAGATAATCTTGTGGTAGTATACGTGTGGTTATGGCTGCTTCATCTCTGAAGCTTCTATCAAAGTCCATCTTCCAGCCTGCTCCCATTCTCCCCACAACTTGCCTTCTGCATTATTATGGAATCTTGACTAGGGCTAATTTTGGTAGCTTCTGGTAGGAGGTTCTCAGACTTTTTCTGTGTAATTCAAGATTGTGTCTACAAAGTTTAAGAAATTCTTACATGCCTCAAGTTTGGAAATTTTAATATTAAAGGATATAGTTAGAATAGAAATATGTTGTATTTATAATTGAATAAAAATGAAAAATTAATATTGTATGCCCAATTCAAAACTTCCTTGTGATGTCAAGTTTTAAAAACCATTGTAGAGTTAAAATGCACTTTTGATAATCTTTAATTCCTCACAAAGAGAAATTTGTTTCAACGGTGAGTAATATATGACATGCTCAGTTATAAAGTTCTCTCCATGTTTACTAAAAACCTATGGGACCTGTGAGCTACAGATCCTAGGAAACTTCTGATTCAGTAGTTAGTTCTTAGGATTTTCTTGTCTTAAATCTGTAAGCTTGATAAACTGCTATGGTGAGGGCTTGACACTCAAGGGTTCATACCATAGAAATCCATCAGAGAAGGCTTGTCCACACACGCTAAGTAGAAAGGGTTTAGTAAACAACAACACATGACATTGAAGTAATGAATGTGTTAGTCTTAGTTAATCATTCTATAATATATGCAAAGATCAATACATCACATTGTACTTCATGGATATACTTACATATATAACTATTGTTTTTTAGTTAAATTTTTATTTTAAAGTTGAATTATTATTATTATTACTATGATTATTATTATTATTTTACAAAGAGCAATCTTGATGAGATAAAATATGAAAGTGAGACCTGGTGATTTGTGTGTGTGTGTGTGTATGTGTGTGTGTGTGTGTGTGTGTGTGTGTTAGCTCACAGAAAAGTTAGAGTTGCATGTAGTGTTGGCTTGGGTAAATTACAGACCGTGCATTGGGATAAGTACCATAAACTGGAAATTAGAGTAAATTCAATAAATATAAAATGAAAGAATTTTTATCTATTTTATATATTCTAGAGAAACAGCTTAATAATGAATTATTTAATTTACATAAATACTAAAAATAAAAAAAAATATTTTAAAATGTATTTAATCAGCTAGGAAGCAGATATAGCATTAATTATCTAGGCATTATTATGTAAAAGTGAAAGACAGCCAATGATATCTAAGAAATATTAGATCTGAAAGTCAATCATAATTTCAGCAATAGTTTATGATCTTACAACTGTGTGAACTTAATCAGGATTAGACTTCTATTCTTTTCCATTGTGGCTCTCACAGCCCTTTCCAACAACTGTTTCTGTGCCCAAGTCTTTATAGATTTTGATCTAGACATCTGAAATGCACAACCTTCCCTCCCCTCAGAAGTGGGAAAATGTCCTGCTCATATGATGACTGGTTATGGTACTGTGGAGGGACAGCCCAAAGGCTGCTGGAACAACTTACTTGTTTCTCCAACAGCTAATAAGAAAAGTTAGATAACTGCTAGCTGGTGTGGATCGGTCCTACAGCTCAGCTCGTGACTCCTGGACTCTTGATTGTGTTTCCCATAAGAAACAACAGCTAATGTCCTCTTTTCTCAGACTGTGGAGCTATTCTGAAGCTCAATATGGAAGTTGTATATGGAAATTTAAAGAAAATGGGCAGTGTTAGTATCTCTGTGAAGGCTTTCCTCATTGGACTCTTAATTACCCTATTGACTAGGTGAAGACGGAACAACTCAGAAATAAGTATGAAGCCTTACAAAGACTCTATCAACCTTAACTTCAATAGGCTATAGACAATTGGAAACTGTTCTTAATCTGGTATGGTAATGTGAGATACATTGAAGATAGAAAAAAAATCAACAAATCAAGTTTGATATACAGATCAACAATTATTTCAAGTTTACAAGTTGGATCTCTGCAGACATCAGGGGACAGTTTCAGTTTTACATATTAACTCTTGTATTGTTTTCTCCCTAGCACTGAGCCCCGACGATGAACAACATCAAATTCCCTTTCTCATTCAGAATTGGCCAAACTCATGACTTTCCAGGGAGAAAGATCAAATGTGAGAGAGAAGCAATCTACATCAGGCAAAGGAGATGAGAAACATTCACTCTTCTGTGCTGGGATGAATAGGAAAGTCAGAGCTAAGTGAACAACATGAGGCATATATACAACTTTCTAAACAGTTCTACTTTCTGTCTTTCTCAGGGAATGGAAGTTGTCTTCAGAGCATTTACACAGCAAAACCTCAAGTGTGCTGATTTTTGACATAAGTCCTGTAAAAGCCCAAACTCTGAGTAGTAGAGGCCTCAAATGAGCCAGAAATGCCAACCTCAATACAGCACTGTAACATGAAGGCCATCTTGTTGGGGTTTCTGTCCTGCCCAGTTCCCACAGCCAGTAAGCCCCAAAGAAATTACAGAGGTCTATATTAATAGTAAACTGATTGGCCCATTAGCTCAGGCTTCTTATTAACGCTTATAACTTATATTAACCCATTATTCTTATCTATGTTAGCCACATGGCTCAGTACCTTTTTCAGCAGGGCAGGTCGCATCCTGCTTCTTCAGTGTCTGGACAGGACTGTAGGAAGAGCTTCCTTCTTCCCAGAATACTCCTGTTCTCATTGCCCCACCTCTACTTCCTGTCTGGTTGTTCCACCTATACTTCCTGTCTGGCTACTGGCCAATCAGCATTTATTTAAAACATAATTGACAGAATACAGAATTGTCCTGCACCATAGTGTGTCAAAAAGCAAAGAAGTTATAGAGTTTGGAGAAAGGATTGATTAAACCTACAAGTTTGACTAAAGACATTTCTACTATAAAGAGACAGCAATGCCAGGCTAGGGAAATGGCTCCCTGGGTAAAATACTTGCTTCTCAAACATGAAAACTTGAATGTAAATCCCCAGAACCCACATAAAACTGGGGTGCAGGAACTTCCTAGTCTATAGTTCCAGCACTTCCCAGTTGGGAAGTGAAGAAAGGACAGTCTGAGTAAGCTTGCCCCCTGCTGTCCTGGCATTATGTGGTGGAAATAAGCAAGAGATATCTCAAAGAAGTGGAAAGTAAGGACCAGTACTTCAAGTTATCTTCTCACCTCCACATGTATGCCATGGTTCATGTGTGCCAGCATTATACATACATGAAATACACAAGACAATATTTCAAAAAAAATTTTAAAATAAAATAATGAAAGTGAACAAAACCAAGCTGTGATTCTTTGAGCATCAAGAGAATAATGACCATTGGTTGTTTGACAGTGCTTTTCATAGACATGTACAAGGAAGCTATGAATTGCAACTTCATTGGTTGAACCTGAGCTTCCCTGAAATGTAAACACCGAGTCTATAGTGCCAATGAGAATATGCTGTACAGAGACGTTAACTGGGGCAGGACTAAGGCCTGATGCAATAGACTAAAAGTTGGCAGGAACGAACCATAAATGGCTCTATAGATGTAGTTCGTGTTTTCATCTCGTGTTTCTTGTGGGATGGTGTGATAGCAGCAGCTATAGAAAGTCGTGCATGAGACAGAATGATGAGGCTATAGATATCAGCAAGGAGACTCCAGCAGACAGTGGCTGTTCCCCAGTATGCAGCTGAGAAACCATTCTTGAAAGGCCATGGAGTTTGACTCACAGGTTTGACATCTAACGCCACACAGCTGGCATGGTAATCTCACCATAAAAACAAAATAGTAACAACACTTTGGTGTGTTATTGAGAATACCAAATAAAACCATATTTGTGTGGGTTCTTCCAGAGGTTACAGCTGATGATGTCATCAACAGGTAGTTGTCACTACTGGCACCTTATGTGGTCTTCTGTGGACTCCGCTGTAAATTCCTCTGTCTCCTAATGAACTGCCAGTACCCCACTCAGCTGCCCACTAACATCAGACTCATTGAGTTAGGCAGAGAAAGAGAAGAATCGTTGCAGTGTAAATGACAGACACAAAACACCCTCAACAACACTGAACTAAAACAATAAGTACAAATGGCGTCAGAAATGGGTGGCTTCTAAACCTGCAAGGCAGCTGCTATTGAATGGCTGAATTTCTCTGATGATTTCCTAGGAGATGGGAAGGAAACATTAACCATCACAGTTCAGAGCTGTACAAGGGTATGTTAATAAGCACTTGCTGGCGGTGGTAAAGAAGGTGGTGATTGTAAATACTGTTTAGGTAGCCTCCTATTATCTGGTGTATATGACTGTCATTTGTGTACAAGTGATCAGTGTCTAAACTAGGGCATCAGACTGTGGTTGAACACTTGTCTAGCAAGTATAAAGGTTCCATACCCAATACCACAAACAAAACAAAACTAAAATGGGATGCTCTGCCAAGTTCTATCATACCTAAACCTACTCATCCAGTGGTGTTTAAGCATTAGTGTGTGCTTAGAAAATGTCCTAAAACCCAGAGAGCTGGCCCACACCTAATAATTTACTCCATAAGCTGTCTCATTGATGCAGCTGCTACTATCAAAGGAAAGGACTTTTAGAAGCAATGTGCTCAGTAAAGGCATATGAGATTCATTTCTGCTTCTTCCCAACTAAAACCAAGACCTGCAAGTCAAGCCTAAGGCTTAGCATGATATATTCTCTTGAAGAAAACAGTTTACCCCTATGAGTGATTGGGAAATCCAACACTGACCTTGTCAATCTGATGTGCACAGTCACCTCGAGCACCCAGACGGATTAGGGTCAGGGCAGTGAAGAGGCTCAGGGAAGAGAAGAATACATTTCCATTTCCTTGACAGTTATCCATTTCTCTGAATAAGTCGAAGCCAAATTCTGCATTTGCTGCAGCAAGGGAGGCCATTGTGAAACCCAGTGTTGCCTAGAGGTCAATGGAGAGTTAAATTATCTCAGAGCACATTTGTTTGTATGTTTGCTTATTATTATTAATTCAAAGCTTCATTTCTTCACCCTTGTGAGCAATTACCAAATAGATGGAAACAGGAAGAGATGATTCCTTTGGTCCTGCATTCTTGGTTCTAATACTCTAAAATTTGCTTGGCAACAATACAGAATACGTTCCTTTTCCTCACCCTGACACAGCAGAAAAACCAAGCTCTCCTATTTGCATTGTGAGTATAATCCTAATTTTTCCTTGATGGGTGCTCTATCCTCAGTGGTTCTTGCTGACCTGTTTTCAAGATGCACATTCATGCACTTAGTAATTTCAGATAGCCTGTAAACTAAACATATGACTGACTGCAAGAAATCCTCTATCCTCACAGTCTGCTCAACATAAACGTTGTTTTCTAAGCCACCCTTTTATCATATCATTTCCTCATACTGGCCCCCTCATGGTCTCTATACATATTCGTAGGGTCATTGTTCACCATGATTTTTTGAACCATCTTAATTTTAAACACAGTTCATCTTTGGTCTTGTAAATATATTCGTCTTTTGAAAGATAATTTTCTGATTTTTTAATTTTTTATTTATTTAAATTTTTTAAAGAAAACAAAACTATCTTTTTTCATTATACATACCAATCCAAGTTCCCACTTCCTCCCCTCCTCCCATTCCCTCCACATACCCCCACCACTATCTACTTCTCTGAGAGGGCAAGGCATATTGCTTTGAGGAAAGACTATGGCCCTCCCTACTATAACTAGGTTGAGCCTGTCTGATTTTTTTAATAGAAAAATAATTATTGATATAAAAATAAATAATAAAAATAGTTATTGTACAGTTGTTGTTACAAGTATCAAGACTTTCCAACCCAGAGGTCTAGATTTTGCTAGAAAATTTATTTAGGCTACAATAGCAAATATAGGATCATGGAGTAAAACTATCTTCTAATTCCAATAGCATTGTGCCTGGATACAGAACCGTGCCGCCACCCTAGAGTTCCCCAGGGACACACTCAGTGCGTTTTTGAAGACTTTCTCCACAGCTTAGTAATCCAATGTCACAGGGGACCTGGCTTAGACTAAATGAATTTGAATGGCTGCTCCATACCACTCTCCTTGAGTACTAGTTCACCTGGTACCAGGGCAGCTACTCAGGAGCCCAGCACTGTGTCAAGTCTACTGTAACAGTTGCATGAACTGGAACAATTTTTTCACTCTTCTAAACTAACTTCTAGTTTATTCCGTGAAATGATCTTAGAATTATAGCAATAATGTGCAGCAGAAAAGCATGCATGTTGCTACCTGTTACTCTCGAACTGGAGAAGAACTTTATATCAGTCACCAAGTGGGAGAAGCAAAAGTATGGAAAATAGAGACTGTCTCCACGAAGAAGACATAGCAAAAGTATGGGAGATAAAGACCATCTCCAGGAAGAAGACATAGCAAAAGTATGGGAGATAAAGACCATCTCCAGGAAGAAGACATAGGTAGCACAAAGTAATATTCTAAAATGCCAATTTTATAAGTTACATTCCAGGAACATAGAATAAGAAAAAAATCAATCACATTACACACACATTTTATTCCAAGAAAAAAATCTATTTTTTTAATATAAATTATTTAGGAGGCTGAATTAGTGGCCCATGCCTTTAACCCCAGTACTCCAGAGGTAAAGACAGGCAGATCTGTTTGAATTCAAGGCCAACCTGGTCTATATAGTGAACTCCAGACCAGCCAGGAATACACAGTGAGTACCTATCTCAAAACAAACAAATAAAAAATCAGCAAAAAAGATATAACAAAGTATAACTTAGCGAAGGAGAAGGAAAGTGTTATTAAGAACTAAGAGTGAAGTTCAGTGGCCTAGAACAGACAAAGCCCTAGGTAATCTAGCAATTTTAAAATCAACCAGATAAAAAATTACCCAGAAAATTACTAAATTTATTTCATATTTTATCCAACTAATACAGGAAAAAGAGACTGTCATTGGCACCACAAGTAAAAGATTCTAGCAAAAGAAAAGAAGACAAATTCAAACTAGGCTCTGTTTGGGTTTAGTAGTGACAAACCACCAAGTGACACCGACATTGTCCATTGTCTCAGAAACTCTTAGGGACTTAATTGTATTTTGGTCTTGGGAAAGAGCATCACAACTATAGCTTGAAAAATTATGAACCAAATAAATAAAAGCATGAAGTATAAAAATGAGACATGCAGCAATGTCTTTTACTAAGTTAGACGCATAAGAATGTCATTACTTCCCCAAGGATGATGTGTTTAGAACCTCTCTTTTCGGAAAGATCTGTGTTGGCGGCAGAGCCTTGCTGCAAATGTAAGGCAGCGCTCTGGAAAAGCCCGAGACAGCAGAAGCACAGCAATCCTTCCGATTACACGGGAGATTGTGTCCATGGGTTTGTTCAAAAACCCTGGACCCGGTGCAGGCTAGAATGATTAAAAAGAAACTAAAGGGATTTTTAGGCCCATGGAGGCTATCAGGTAAAATTATATCACAAGTAAAATGCCAGTTCCTCCGATTCTTTACAAATTATGTCTTACTGATTTACAGTTTTGGGTAAAAGAATCATTTCTGACTTTTCAACATTATTCTTCTTTACAATCCAAACAATAAAACATTTAGTCAACATGGTAACATCTCACAAAATTGTCATTTTATCAAAAAGGAAAGAAGAGAAACACAGGAATCTGCTCATTGAAAAAAAAAGTTATGTAACTAATTTCATCAGATAAAGTAGACTTCATGGCATAGAAATCATACTGATAAAAAGTTATTACGGAAAAAGATGAGTCAAGACATTCCTAGACAATATGAAATCCTGAAGCCCTAACTTTAAAATGACGGATAGCAGTGAATACTTTCCATCACTCTTATTCAAACAGGTTCACACATGCTGAAGATAAATTCAGAAAAATTCGACTTTGCATAACTGATTTTTTTAACTTTCTCTATGTAAAGGGGACTCCATGTTCATGAAATGAAAGCAAGACTCCTCCTCATTGAAGGTGAAGACTGCATTCCATTGACAAACAGACATCTTAAGACTGACTCCGTGACTTTAGGCCCCAAAGTTCCAAATGCTGAGAAATGTGTAAAATTAGCATCAGAAGAGCTTTTCTTTCTCCTATGATAATTTTTCAGCAACTTAAAAATAAATATGTAAAATGCCAACAAAAAATACTGTTTAAAAAATACCAGTGAGTAGCAAATGTTTGGTGCTTAGGTATATAACTAAGCAACTGTCACGGAAATTAACTTGGATTCAGGCTACAGAAGATGTCCCTGCCGTATCACCCAGTACACTAAGTACAGAAGGTGTCCCTGCAGTCAGTACACTGTTGTTGAGATGGTATAATGACAAAAAAAAATATTTTCAATCATAAAAGAATTTGACTAGAGAGAGGAAGTTTTCATTTAATCCCCAAACACCACATTCTTGTGTTACTTGCACAGACACGTCTGCTTAGTATAAAATTACAAAATAATTTAAAAGTTCATAATTTAAAGTCAATGCAAAATAGAAACTTCTTACGTAATGTCTTAAATTCCAAATTTCAGACAAACATTACAGCCCCGTGAAGGCTACTTGATTGCCTATAGAAAGTTTCACTCTGGCAGTGGGTTTTCTCTCCTCTGACAACTATATGTTGTGAGAAAACCCAAGCCAAAATCCCCAAAATATAAATATCACCAAAGCTTTGTTTTAATAATCTAATTAAACTATTAAGAAAATGGTTTTAAAATGAAGCATAACAAACCTATACATAAAATAACCTCAAAAAAACATGGAATTAAAATGATTCTGTCTCATGGTACTAAAATTGTATCTAATTGATAAGATACATGGTTTAACTGAACGGTAAAATCATATGTAATCTTAGAGTAATTTTAAATTATAAAAGAAAAATTAATTGGTCATTATTATTGAAATTAAATTATATATAAGGACAGAATAACTACTAAACAAATTTTATTTTTATTTCTTACCAGTACTCTAAATATTGTATTGCAAAAAATTGCTACTCACTACAAATATTCTCAAATATTTCCATGGTTTTAAAAGTTTAAACTTTGATAAACCTCTAAGCCTGTGATTATTAATTCTATTAATTCTATTTTAAAGAATTGGCAAATTCCAACATATAGTGATGTAAATAAGAACACTGGAAATCAAAATTAGATGTGTATGTAATTCTCAATTTATCTATTTAAGGACTGAACACAAAACTTTGACTGATAACTGATTTTCCACACCGTGGCAAGCACCATTTTCCATGATAATAGCAAGTCAAAACCAGTCTGGAGAAGTCATAAACCAGAGAGAACTGGAGAGCATTTTGAAACCTTGATGCATGTAATGTCTCAAATACAGAGAAGTAGGAAGATTCACTCATTCTCTCTCTCTCTCTCTCTCTCTCTCTCTCTCTCTCTCTCTCTCTCACACACACACACACACACACACACACACACACACACTCTTTTACACTGTGGACACTGGGAGCATTTACCTGACTGTCTTCATAGAGGAAGTTGCAGCTGGTTGGGTGAGTCTGGAGAGTTCCCTGCATTACTCTGAAATATAAAGCCTCTGACTCAGACACTCCCTTTTTCCTACTGTGATGACCACAATACTTTAAAAATAATTCCACTGAGTGAAATTGTGCTCAGGTCTTTCATAAAGCAAAGTGAAGAAAATCTGTAATTAACTATGACTTCAATTCAAAGTTGTCAGAATAGATATTTTTCATTAAACTGAATGAATCTGAAATTATTATAACAGTATTTTTAACATGTGTATATAGCATTTTACTGATGAAATTCAGTGGCTTATCTGTGATATTGCTGTCTTCTCTGCCTCCCTCTTCTTTCAGTTTTAGCAGACAACAAGAAATGCAGTAGAGTGCCTCCCCAAAGACTCATTTTCTAGCAACTTGGGAACTA